TAAATTTGGAGGATGGGTAGACAACAGCCTCCTACTGAGTATATGAGGGTAAAGTATGGAAGGGATACAGCTGTTGATACCAACGTCATTATAGCATAATGGTTTGAGACATTGTACAATAATAATATTTTACTAATACTGTGTGAGGGCTGGGGTAGACGGTAATAAAATGCAACTTAATGGGCAATAAATTTAATATAAATAGTACTCGGTAGAATTACAGTTATTACATTAGTTATGGTTGGGTTGAATGTTAATAAAATAAAATTATTGGGTAGGCTAATTTAACAAATATATATAAATAATTATCTCTAACTTCATGCTGCAGCTGTATCCCTTCTAGCAACAAAGACGATCTGATAGACAACAGCGCCTCCTACTGACTATATAAGGGTAAAGCATAGAAGAGATACATACAGCTGTGTATAGCAAATTGAAAAAAAAATAAATCAATCAATGCTTGGGTTTGTCCATGTTTGACCCATACTAGTACTTTTCTAAATTTACAACTAGTTCTTGTATATTAGACACTTTTAGACCTATTTGTTCATTACACACTGATATTTATTAGACATTAATTTATAGTTAAAATTACTTATTAAATGGAATGGATAGATTTACTCTGGTATTTATTAGATTGTAAGATTGTAATTATTAAATACAAAATAAAAAGCTACTTTAATCATTTGAAAGTGGCACTTGTTAGATACTATACTTGTTCGTTAGATACCAGTACCCAATAAAAAATGTTTTATTATTTATTAGATTATTAATCATTTAATAAGTATTCATTAGTGACTATTTTATTTTTTAAAAATATAGTATATATATCTGTGTACTTATATATATATATATATATATACATATATATATATATATATATATATATATATATATATATATACATATATATATATATATATATATATATATATATATATATATATACATATATATATATATATATATATATATATATATATATATATATATATATATATATATGAGCAATATACACACGAGTGCAATATCACACCTGCAGCCTCGTGCCAACGCACGCCTTCCACCAGTGCTGATATACAGCCATATCGCACTGCTACGAGAGTGATATTGCGTTTATACAACAGTTTGACGGCATACTTGTGTTTATAAAAACAAAATCAAACATGGAGACAGTTTCTGCTGGCTGTATGTGGGCGGGGTAATACACAAAGGGTAAAGAGGCTGTACGGGTGCTGATATTACTTAAATATATCACGGGTATCAGCCAATCAGATTCGAGAACCAGACAGAACTGTTGTATAAATATTCTTTTGTACTTCTTTTCTCATACTTCTTTTGTCCAATTTTGGTGAGCCTGTGTGAATTGTAGCCTCGGTTTCCTGTTCTTAGCTGACAGGAGTGGCACCCGGTGTGGTCTTCTGCTGCCAAAGCCCATCTGCCTCAAGGTTGGACGTGTTGTGTGTTCAGAGATGCTCTTCTGCAGACCTCAGTTGTAACAAGTGGCTATTTGAGTTACTGTTGCCTTTCTAGCTGGAACTAGTCTGACCATTCTCCTCTGACCTCTGGCATTAACAAGGCAGCTTCTTTAAACCCTAGAGATGGTTGTGTGTGAAAATCCCAGTAGATCAGCAGTTTCTGAAATAGCAGCCCGTTTGGCACCAACAACCATGCCATGTTCAAAGTCACTTAAAGCACATTTCTTCCCCATTCTGATGCTCGGTTTGAACAGCAGCAGATCGGCTTGATCATGTCTACATGCATAAATGCATTAAGTTGCAGCCATGTGATTGGCTGATTAGAAATTTGCGTTAATGAGCAGCTAGACAGGTGTACCTAGTAAAGGGGCTGGTAAGTGTTTAAAAAGTTTTTGACTGATTTAACTTTGTAGCTAATTTAAATTTACACTGTCCATATTTGACAGTGTTGGGTTACAACAACCCTGCATTTTTAGAGTAATTTTATTTTTTTAAGTAGTTTAATTTTAGTTTTTTTTTTACTCCTTATGATCTAAATGTGCATTAGAAAATAATAATAATAATAAAATACCATTGAAAATGATAAATGCTAAAATAATTCATACCAATTTTACAACATTACATGTGAATTTAAGGTTTTAAAACATTGGTAAGGTTTCATTCCACTACCAAATCTACATGTTTACATGTGTCCAAACTGTCCCGGGTTCATGCATTGTGAGACTTCAAAGTTTCTGAGGGAAACCATTGCAAACACAGCAAATCAAATGTCATCTGCTGTCAAATGTTCCAAGAGCGTCTCCCGTCCTTCTCTTTCAGAGATTAGTCTCAAGGTTGACTTTAGTGGTAAGCACATTTATAATCCTTCAAATCTAAATGTGTGCTTTAGCTATCCTTCCATAACACATCATTCCATATAATTAACTCGATTTTGAAGACATAAATGATTAGCCATTGCGTTCAATAGTTTTTTTCTTCCTACTATAAACTGGCTAGTCACCAATATCCTTCAATATATCTTTTTTGTGTGTTAAACAGGAAGCTTAAGGTTTGAAAGATCTCGAACAGGTGGTTTTCTTTTATCTTTGAGTGAACCATCTCTTCTGAGTGTCCAAATACTGCGGGTGATTTTATTGAAGAGTGGAAAATACAACTTACTATAAAAGGCATACATTTTCCTGCATTTCAAACCCATGGGTTCCACTATTATCTGGCCAAACCTGCTGAACAGACTCTCCTTGCCCCCTTTGATGGAAACTGAATCAAAGTTTAATGCGCAGGAAAGATAAAACTCATGAAGGGGAAAGTGCCAGAGAGTGTTTCCACTGACGGACAGATCTCTTCTGTCACATCTGATGATGGAGCAGAGAGTAAAACTTAAAGGACGAGATGTAAGACAGCAAGACAAAAATGAGTCATTGAGTTCTTAATCTCTCATATTTGATGGGATGCCATAATGCTTTTAATGAGATGCAGTTTCACAGATCTAATATATACTGACTCGCATGCGGTTTTACTTCCCAGCTCTTTATATTCAAACTGACATCAAGAGAATTTGTTTTTGACATCATTCATTTTCCTTCGGCTTAGTCTCTATGAACTGCCAACTATTCCAGTATGTTTTACGCAGCGGATGCCCTTCCAGCTGCAACTCAGTACTGGAAATCACCCATACACACCCTCATACACTACAGCCAATTTAGTTTATTCAATTCACCTATAGTGCATGTCTTTGAAATGTGGGGGATACCCGAGCACCCGGAGGAAACCCATGTCAACACTGGGAGAATATGCAATCTCTATACAGAAACTGAGCCACCGTGTTTTTGACGGTGAAAGACAGTTTTCTTTAATAATGTTTTGACATTGTTTTTTGTGTGTTCGGAAAACTATGAGTTAAAAATTGGATAGGCTTTAAAGTCAGCCTGAATCACAGCTGCGCAGACATATTTAAGTATGTTGATGTAATTTCAACTGACAGAATATTGAGTAGGGGGTGGGGCTTTATTTTTGCATATCATTACCTCATAGCAAAGTGTAAGAAGGGCGTAGTTAAAAAATATTGTGGCTGAATCCATCAAATTGATGTCAACAGAAGGAACACCCCTACAAACGCAGAAGCAAATGCTCAGACTTAACTTTTGTTTACTATTCCCAAACATGAACGAGCAAAATAAAGTCAATTTTAAAACTTCAGTCAGTCAGTTAGTCAACAGCGGTAGATTTACACGAGGAAAACAGGCACGAATGGCACTCGTGAGAGAAATTTAAGATCTGAAAAAGCGTACACAGCAGCCTCTGGTGGATTCACTAACACTGCAAAAAAGGTAATAATGTAGCTCCTGGAATGCATTTCACTCTCTCCAGGAATGTATATAGGGGTACGTAATCAGAATGAGCCTGGCTGAAAGAAGGGCATTTACAGCATAGCATAAAAAATGATGTCTTTTTTAGCTGAATCGTCACTGAAACATTTTTGGCTCTCCCGAATCTTGTAAAATTCGTAATAAGAGTAAAGCGTAATAAGAGCCCTTTAGGACTGCAGTGTTGCACCACCAGCCAATTCCATTTGCGTAATAAGATGCACTTTCCAGTGAAGACATGGAGCAAGATTCAAGTATATATGAAAAAAACAAGGGTGTGATTTGAACTCTCAACAACAACAGAAAAAAATGAAATGAATTAGGGCTGCACAATATTAGAAAAACCTAACATTGTGCTATTTTTTATTCTGCAATATATATTACAATTTGAATACGACTAGATTAGTTGCATAACTATTCGTAAAAATGTATTATGATGATTCTGTAGGGAAGTGCATATGCAAAAATTATAAGGAAATCTACGATGAAATAAATTTAAAAAAATTAAAAAATTAAATAAAGATTTTTTTTGTTTGTTTTTCGAGGAGTTGAACTGTATTGAGATATACAGTACTTGAATAATCATATGTAAGACAATACCGCAGTCTTCATTATACAAACAATCAAATAAAATTAATTGTTTTAATTTTGTAATTTCTTAAAATCCTCACAGGGTCACAGGCCTCAAAAAACATTTGCAAAATGATCAATATAATATAATCCAGACTTAGCATTGCGTATGCTCACGATGTGCCTATTGTGAATGATCACATCGCAAAATTGATGGTGAAACCATATACTGTACAGCCCTAATATTCCTTTTTTTTTTAATCGAGAGTAACAGAGAAGGGTGTAGATAATTTAAAATAAGGTCAAGATAATGCATAAACAGGTTTAATCCCAAAAGTGCATGAGCTACATAGAAAAACAGATATAGAGTTTTATGTCACTAACAAAAATAGTGTTATTTGTGAATGGCATTCATGTATCTCTCTCAAAGAAAAGTGTATTTTGATTATTTTAAAGCATTTACAAAGTTTCATTCACTTCATAAAACTCATTTCCTTCTTTTATTCTAGATCAAAACAAGCAGAAAGAGGGTTAGCAACTACCATCAGCAAACACTTGATCACAAAAAATGACCAGAATGAGAACCGAGTGTGTTCCACAATGTTTGTTTTATTATTCTGAACATATCCCCGGTGTCACAAATTCAACTTAATTTGATTATATGTCTTTTAAAAAAAAGAAAAAATGAACAGGGTGGATTAAAAAAAACAAACAAAAAGAAAGTTTCTTTGATGCATTACAGGATGATTCATTTGTGGCTCTGAAAATGTCAAGACCGTAAGAAAACTGCCACTACATATATTAATTTTCACAATATTTGCCTATTAGCTCTCGCTAACGAAGACTCGAAGAAAAAGATCATAGCCAACTGAAGCAAACAGCACAACAAACCCCCACCATTCACTGGAATTACTATTTAATTCAATGATTAACGTGGTTAGAGTACCTAAGGATTATAAGAGTGCTTGCTAATAATCACTGAAGTTCTAGTTGGTGTGGTAATGAAAGCTACATAACAGCATGCCGTCGCGGATGCAGGTGGGGCCGTAAAGCACTGTGGTTAAGCAAGGGCAAGTTTACAGCAAATCCTTACCATTGACACAATCAGTGATTCCTAATGAAAACACCCTTAAACTCACTGCAGTAAATGATTCTTCACAGTACGTCACCTTACGAAGTGTGTAAAACATCCAAACGCATCGTATAAACTTATGTGAGGAGCGAATTCAATGGATCACAACACACACACACTTAGGTTCAGTTACATTGCGGTGATATGAGATCATAGTGAGCATTCGCTGCTAAAGATTGATGTAGAAAATAAATCTATGACTGTAAAAATAAGGCTGTGTCATTCAAGCGATGCAAAACAGCGACACACTCCACATCCTGTCCATGAATGGAAAGGGTTTGCTGTTTTTTTTTTTTTTTTTCATACAGTAACATCTCTGTGATGGACTCGTTTACAAACTGAGTCTGACAGCGGGTTGGAGAGTCTCATTTTAACGCACCCGACAGATTCATTTCCGTGACTGAGTCAAAACGACAATAAAAAGGAAACAGAAAAGTTCAGAATCGCTCCCAACCCTTTTCGCGATACAACTAATAGACTACAGGCACACTTTTAGGACCCTTAACATTGTCATCAGTGAGGGGTTCAGACGAACACACACATATACACACACACACACACACACACACACACACACACACACACACAAAAAAAGTTCAGTTAACTTACAATTTACTCAGCTGCTGTTTATGCCTCTATTGTTTTTCTCCTTTTTTATGACAAGCATGCCGCTGTATATGCATCCTAATTGTTTTTATTTATTTTTAGATTTTGGTGTCTTGTTATATTAACTTAAAATGAACAGATCTGTATAAACCTCCCCTAACATGCCTTTTATTCTGCATCTATGCCCCGCAGGATTCATCTCATCAACATAAAGCTCATGGTCGATGTAAATGTTACTGGAAGAGAGAGATTTGTGAACTGGTAATATATGTATATATATTAAAACAGAAACGAACGTTGCCTCGCAATACAGGCGTTTTCCTTTCTTTGTTTCTCAAGCTAAACTATTAGAAATGTCCAATCGTGCTCCAGCAGAGGAGACTATTTTTTGAGTGTGGAGTGAGCAAGAATTGTTTTTTTGTTTTTTTCTGATGATGTACAAGACATTTCTAAGAGAGTAAGGTTTAAGACAGAGGGTCATAACAATCATTTACAATTAATTGCTGTATGTCTGTCCTTCCGGTGGTTGAGGAAGCTTCATATTCTCTTTGGACATCATAAGACGCCTTAGCTCTTGAAGAACGACTTTAATGCTATATGAGTTTTGCCATTTTGCTAGAATTGGTATGCTACGTGCATCCACCTGAAACAAAAGAGACACAAAGAAAGGGAAGGGGACACATGTGGAAATGAGTTATGTGAGTTATCTTACAACCTCATACGCTATTAAGTCAAATATTTGAAGAAAATACACAGGATTTATAACAGAAATTATTTTGGTTTATGCAAACTCTGTCAACAACATTTGTGGCAAGATTTAAATTCCTTCCTATGTTATTAAAAATAAACCACATCATGGGTAAACTAACCCACACTGTATTTCAGGCTATAAACAATAAACCGCTAGACTTAAATTTTAGACTTAATGGAGAGAAACTAATTATTATATTGCAAACACAATCAAAATATAATTTAGTAAGAAAAACAACCCCATCTCATTGAAACCAGTTTTAATAATCTGTTTTCACGCTAGACTGGTCAACATTTACAGTACATGTGATTTTTACATTAAACAGAGTGATAGACAGGAAAGTACAATAAAAATTCAATAAAAGTAGCTAGTATTTTGCTGAGTGCTGTGCGGTGTTTCTTTGGCTGTTTTAGGCCTGCTGTGGACAAACATATAGACTTAAATATTATATTTGATGGAAAGAAACTCATTTTTATATTGCAGACACATGATCAAAAGATAATTTTGTAAAAGAAACAGCCCCATCTTAATGAGGAAAAAAGCAAACCAGTTTTAATTATCTGTTTTCACGCTAGCCTGATCAACATTTACTGTATATGTGCCTTTTACATTGAGCTATAGCCAGGGAAGTGCAATTGAAATTATATGATTTTTTCCAATAATAATTCAACTGTGAGTGTTTTTGTGGTGTCTTCTTGGCTGGTTTAAGACAAATATATATATATATATATTCATTCATAAGTCTGAATTCATTCATAAGATTTGTTTCAACAAATGATTCAATTCCACAAAGCAAGTGACCAAGTGTATAATAGACTTGATATGTAAATGCTTCTGGACTCTCGGGACATATTTTGTTTGTTTATTCCAAAGTGAGTGAGAAGATAATGTCTGTTCGCACACTGGTAAACAATTAGCATATTATAAGAGACAATAAATTTGCATATTATAAGACAATAAATACTGCACACCCCCATAATCGAAACTCATTTCAGTGCTCATTTAATTATGCCACTGATACAGCAAAAACGTGAATATGAATTTGTTATATTAGTCAATATAAGCAAAACTAAAATAAATAAATAAATAAAAAGACCATCAAGACATTGCAGTGAAAAAGGTTCAAAGAAAAAATACACTATTAAGTAATACCTGAACAACCTTATCGAATAGGATGTAGGGGTTGCACCGACTAGTCAACTTTAATGTTCTGCAGTGATGCTTTTTGATTGACGTCGACTAGTCGTGCTACGCAGATCACTTTGTTTTTGTCCTGCATTAAATTGCAGCTTACACACAAATGTGTGTTCACCGAATGAAACTGCCCTTGCTATTATTGAAATTGATTTAAATGTTTTATTTTATGCCAGCGTCAACGATTCACTTTGAGTGAATTTTAAATTGCCAAACTGGTGTCAACTGGTTAGATTGCACCATGCAAATACCCTCGAGCAGATGATGGCCTATCGTGTTTACACTGGAAAAGTAACATGACTGGCTGTTGTCCTCTGTGACGCGTTGCCGCTGACATGTTTTGTGAATAAACCGTGAAACGCACCAAGTGTGTAGCTACGGCATGTGTAAACATCATCCGAGTTGAACACAAAGAAAATACGCACAGCTTTGTTATAAAAAAGGTGCGACTTGACCAAGATTGAGCAGCATTTTGACCCGCACATCATAAAGGTAAAATCTGCATCTGAGCAGGACTCTAACTTTTCTTTCGCGTGTTGTTATGAAAAACCTTACCATGAATTGGTGTTTGATGTTCTGTGTGCTGATGATGTATGCATTACTTTTGCAGTAAACATATCTGTTATTGTTCAGTAGTACGAGCCATGATCGATGTGCTGACTGCCTTTATTTTGCACTAAAATTAGTCTGTTCTAATGTTGCGCTATTAACAAAATTGTTCACAATGCATTACTTTTCTACTAAAATTACTCAATGGTAATGTTGAATTGTTTTTGCAACGTGTTATGAGCTGTCAAACAGCATGTGTTAGTATTTCCTGAAAATAAATAGCAAATTGTGATATGTTGGAAAATATTTGCATCTTGTGTTTTATTAATGACGTCACCAGCGACTAGTCGACATTTAAT